AAAAAAAAAAAAAAAAAAAAAAAAAAAAAAGAAAAACCAAAAAACAAACTGTATTTTATAAACAAACAAAAATTACCTGAAAGACCATATTCTTTAATTTGTTGCATCCTAGGGTCTGGTTAGCTGTTTTTTGTAACCCCACCACATCCTGCTCAGTCTGCCACCCCCTAACTTCCCACCTCCACCCCTGCCCTGCTTCTTCTTTGAGACAAGGTCTCACTGTGTGGTCCAGTGTCTTAGTTAGGTTTCTGTTGCTGTAGTAAATCACCCTGATCAAAAGCAACTTGTAGGGGGAAAGGAATTATTTTTCTTATGCTCCCAGGTAACAAGCCATCACCTAAGAGAGTCAGGGCAGGAACTGAGGTAGGAGCATGGAGGAATTCTGCAGCTAAATAATCCTCACGACTTGCTCGGCCCTCTTCCCTGCACAGTCCAGGACCACATTCTGCTTTTTTTTTTTTAATTTATTTGTTTTTATTTTTTATGTGCATTGGTGTTTTGCCATGGGTATCAGGTCCCCTGGAACTGGAATTACAGACAGTTGTGAGCTGCTATGTGGTTGCTGGGAATTGAACCCAGGTCCTCTGGAAGAGCAGTCAGTACTCTTAACCACTGAGCCATCTCTCCAGCCCCATTTTTTTAAACAAATTTTTTTGTTTCATTTTGTTTTGTTTTGTTTTTCAAGACAGGGTTTCTCTGTGTAGCTTTAGAGCCTGTTCTGGAACTCACTCTGTAGCCCAGGCTCGCCTTGAACTCACAGAGATCCACCTGCCTCTGCCTCCTGAATACTGGGATTAAAGGTGTGCATCACCACTGCCCAGCTCTCTTTCTGCTTTTAAAGAAATTTTAAACTGCTATTTTAGGAAGTTTAGGGGCTTTTTGCTATCTGATAACAGGGTCTTAGGGAAACATCTTGATGTTGGCAAGCATGTGCTAATGGCCGCTTCCTCCTGTGCAGCCCCCACCCTCCCACCAGGCCTCCCCAGTTCTGCCTCGCACTGGGTCTTCCATGTCAGCACATCTGAAGTGAGCCCCCTAGTGGAGGGTGTGTCTTCTTTAGAGACAGCCCAGGCCTGTGTCTAAGAACTATCCAGGTTGCTAAGGGTGCTTATGGCTTATGGCTTCCAGAACATCCAATAATTTGGACAGCAGTCACATGTGAGAGCCCACAGGCTTCTTGAAGAGTAGACTTGGCAAGATCATTTTGCTCCTTTTCATGCTTCCTGACCACACAGCTCCTATAGGTTGCTGTGCTGGCTACTTTTATGTCAACTTGACACAAGCTAGAGTCATTTTGGAAGAGGAAACTTAATTGAGAAAATTCCCCCACTAGATTATGAGGCATTTTCTTGATTGATGATTGCTGTGTGTTTTGGAGGGGGACCAAGTTACTGTGGGTGGTTTAAGAAAGCAGGCGGAGCAAGCTGGTAAACAGCACTTCTCCATGGCCTCTGCCTTAGTTCTTGCCTCCATGCTCTTGCTCTGCTTGAATTCTGGCCCTGAATTCCCTCAGTGATGGACTGTTACCTAGAAGTATGAGATGAAACAAGCCTTTTCCTCCCCAAGGTGCTCTTGGTCATTGTATTTTATCACAGCAATAGAACTCTAAGACAACTTCTATTCACCTGACCTGCATGTACATTTGGCTGGACTCCAGGTGTGGTCAGCCTGGCCCTTCTGGAACCTTGGTGATTTGTGAGACCTTAGAGTTTGGCTCTTCTTCCTTAGGTGGAGACACTAACCCACCAGGCCAGAGCCACCACCGTGCATGCTGTCCGGGACTCAGAACTGGCCAAGCTGCCAGCAGGAGCTCTGACATCCATCAAGCGCAGGTACCCACAGGTAAGGGTGGTGCAGAGCCCCTGTTCTAACCGCACAGGTGAGGATTTAGTCAAGTGCACACAGACACACTATGGAACAGGTGGATGGGAGGTTGTAAAAGTGATTCATGAGGTCATGCCCTCAGACCAGGGACTCTTTTACCTGTTGTTGTGAGACACTATTCCTAGGGAAGCATGAGCAGACCAAACTTAACTCAGATATGGAACTGGCGACAGACCAAAGTAAGGATACCACCAAAGTGCAGCTTGATAAACCAGTGAGTTTCCATGGGGTTGCTTACAGGAATATGGTGAGAGGTTGCTTAGCAGGAGCGGAAATGACCCAAAGGCAGCTCCGTCACCAAGAGCCCGCCCCAGCTCACAAACGCTGGAGACATGAGCTCACTGCACAGCCTGCAGGCAGCTCGAAAAGCTTGTACAGTGTTCTCTCCAGAGAGATCAGGTGAGCTGAGCCTCTTTGAGGCAGCTCTGCTGGTCTGACAGTGTCTTCGACAGACTTTGCTGCTTGTATATGCTCATACATAGAAGAGGCTAGTGTGTGTGTGGTAAGTTTCAGGGATGGCCTGAAGCCTTTAAGTAGTTTACTTCCTGAGCTTGAGGGGCTTCCCTGCAGAATAGATTAATAACCCCTTTAGAATATCCTGTGTTTTAGCTGGCAGTGGTGGTGCACACCTTTAATCCCAGCATTTGGGAGGCAGAGGCAGGCGGATCTCTGTGAGTTCAAGGCCAGCCTGGGCTACAGAGTGAGATCCAGGACAGCTCCAAAGCTACACAGAGAAACCCTGTCTCGAAAAACCAAAAAAAAAAAAAAAAAAAAGAATATTCTGTGCTGTGTCTTAAGGATGGAAGGTTTTATATAGGAGGAGATTGCTACACAATCCCTGTGTCTTAGGATAGCAGCTTGAAGAGAGCTTTGGTGTTGGCCGGGGTTGGTTGAAGAGGAGTACTTGGGCTGCATCTCGGAGCTGTTGGTCAGCTGCCTGTTCTGATGGTCCTCCCTGCCTGAGTGACAAGACTGTCACAGGAGAGAAGGGGAAAACCAACACTCTGGAAAACCAAAACCCCGGGGAGCCCATGGTGGGCTCCCATCAAAAGTCTCCATAGTCTTTGTTTGTTTGTTTTTTGAGACAGGGTTTCTCTGTTTGACAGCCCTGACTGTCCTGGAACTCACTTTATAGACCAGGCTGGCCTTGAACTCACAGAGATCCTCCTGCCTCTGCCTCCTGAGTGCTGAGATTAAAGGCGTGTGCCACCAACCCACTGCCCTTAGTCTTAAAACTGCTTTTCAGTGTCTATTTTTTTCTTTCCAACTCTCCTCCTCTTCTTCCTCCCTCCCACCTCCTCTTCTTCTTTTTTTCTTTTTTTTTTTCCAGTGTGTATGTGTGTGTGGTACTAGTAATGAAACCCAGGGTCTTATGTATAGTAGGTAGTCACTTTACCTCTGAATTATAACCCAAGTCTGCTTGTTAATTGTATATGAATGAATTAGTACCAAATGTACCTTTTTTGAATGGCTTTGTTCATTGTCCAGCAGTATCCTGCTGCTGGTCTCAGTCCATTTGTCTGTTCTCCAGTTGGTGGGTGTTGGGATGCTTTCCAGTTTGGAACTATTGGGTTTAAAAGGCTGCTGAACGCATTCTTGACAAATGTTATTATAAACAGATGATTCATTTTCCTTGTTCAGTCTCTGGTCACGAGATAGATGTGTTCTTGGGAGCTGCACAGTTCTCCAAAGTGGCTGTGCTGTTTCCCAGCCCTGTGGGATGTGGCTCCTGAGCCTAGAGTGCTAGCGAACACAAGGCAGCTGCCTAACACCAGCCGTTCTCATGGCTGCATCACAGTGGTGTGAGTTTGTGCTTCCTCGCTTATTTTAAGATACCAGACCCCTTTTTGTGGACTTATTGGCCGATCTGGAACCTTTGCCACTTGACGTAGAAATAACCTTTTAAAAAATTAGCTTTAATGCTCAGACATGGTGGTCTGCTTTTAACCCTAGTATTTGGAAGTTAGAGCCAAGGTTACAGGCTGTGAGTTCTGTGAATTCAAAGCCAGTCTGGTCTACATAGTGAGTTCCAGGGTATCCAGGACTACAATAGTAGACTCTGTCTCCCAAAGAAACAGCAACAACAGCAAAATTAGTCTCACTTTGAATTTACTTGGTTGGTTTTTTGTTTGTTTGTTTGTTTTGTTTTGTTTTTCATGGAGCTGAGGACTGAAGAATTTACTTGTTTTTAAATGTGACAGTTTTATTGCTTTATTTGTGGTACTGGGGATTAAGCTCGGGGCCTTATGTATACTACACAAGCACTATGGCCCTGAACTGCATCCCCAGCTCTTTAAATTTTATTTTGAGACAGGGTGTTAAGTTCCCAGGCTGGCCTTGAACTTCTCTTGTGGTCTAGGCAGGCCTCAAACTTCATCCCCTCATATCTCAGCTTCCCATTGCTGGTGTGAAAGGTAGACATTATCGTGCTTTGCTGAGTATAGGTGTTGGTTTGTTTTGGCTCTTGGCCTCTAGAGAAACATTCAGCTATCCATCATAGAACTCCACAAGTGCTCCCAAAGGCTTGTTTATGAAGTAGCACTGCCGGGGTGGGTGAAGGAGCAGTGGAACTTCCTGCTGCACTCTTCCCCTGCTTTCTTACGTTTCCAAACTTCCGTTACAGTAGACTACACAACAGCAGCCTCGTCTGGAAACGTCATGCTCTCAGGCTTACTTTCAGACTTCTCTACTCAGACTACCTTTTGTTTCACCTCTGAAAATCTGGTCAGTTTCATTTAGATCTTCTGTGATCTCTGACCCGACCAGCCTGGGGCAAATAAGCTTCCTTAATTTCCTTGCTAGTTCTGCCCTCCGGGGTTCTCCCATTGTGCTGTAAGCCTGTATTTAAGACCTCCTCCCTCCTTCAATAAACGGCATTTGGCATTAAAAAAAATCAAAATAGATCTTTACATTAAAACTTGTTACTCGGGGGGGAAAAAGATATATGGATAAAAGGGAAAAAAAGATCAGACAGTTAAGAAACAGAGTTAAAATATCCAAGTATTAAATTTCTACTAATCATAATTTAAGAAGCATTAATTTATGATTAAGCATAAATTAATCATAATTAAAGAGGCCAGGAGCATAGTTGAGTGCTAGAGTGCTTGCCCAGCACACATGAAGCCTTAGCTCTAATCTCCAGTAGCACAAAAAAACTTAAAGCAAGCAAAACAAACAACGCCACGCATGGAAATGAGGTATCACTGTTAAAGACCCCAAGAAAATGTAAACACATGAAGTGATGGTGATTTCCCAACCAAAGGCAAAGTAGACTATCATACAGATTTATTTTCTGCTCTTTTCACATACTATGTAGATCAGGTTTTGTTTTGGGGAAAATTAATTTCTCTTCTAACTATATCAGGCTCAAATTCTTCCAAAATATTTATTTTAGACATATCCAAGTATAAAGCATTACATGTGATACCCAAAGGCTGGGTTAGCATTCTTAGGAGAGACACAAACAATAAAGAATGTTTCTATTGATGAGAAGTGCCAGACAAATAAGCCAATTATGCATAAAGGGATATCTATAATAAAGATTCAAATATGTTAAAAAAAAAAATGTACTTGCTAGTAGTGGCCCTTGTGAACCAGGAAGTGCTGGCGCACACCTTTAATCCCAGCACTGGGGAGGCCGAGGCAGATGGATCTCTGTGAGTTTGAGGCCAGCCTGGTTTACAGAGCGCGTTCCAGGACAGTTCTTTGGCTAAGGCTTCAGAGAGAGTCTCTGTCTTGAAAACAAACAAGCAAACAAACAAAACACCCAAAAAGAACAACAAAAAAGAAGTGGCCCTGATGTCACGAAAATGATACCAGACAAAAGCAGGTGTCTGAGGTGAATCCTACTCTCAGGAGGCCTTGTCAGCTGTCTTTGCCATGCCTGGGGGTCATGGATGGGTTCCTTAGGTCACTTGCTACCTCGAGTGAGTGTGAGAACCTACAGCAGGCTCAAGGTCACAGACACCTTTTGTGTTTCCATTTCTCCTTGTCACCCCTGGACTGAGCAACCACCTCCCCCCCCCCCCCATCAAGCTCCTTTGTCCTGGTAATTTAATTTCTTTCCTTTTGTTGTGGTAAAAATATCCTGACAAAAGCAACTCAAAGGGAAATGTTTTCTTTTGCCTCAGAGTCCCTCATAGTAGAGAAATCACGACAGGATTTCTAGCGAAGGAGCTAGAAGAGGCGTCCGTTATGTCGCATCCATAATCAAGACCAGAGAGCAACGAGTGCATGCGTGATGGTGCTCATCCCGCTTTTCCATTATAAAACCCAGGTCCTGTCTACAGTTGAGATGGGTCCTCCCACATCAGTTGATGTCACCAGGACAATCCCGATAGGCATGTCTAGGCCATCTCTTTCTGCATTTGTCAAGTTGGCAACTAACACTGTCTCATCTGGCAACCAGAGAGTTGTGCATGGGCTCCCGTCACCCATAGCGCATATTTATTTCCAGTCACCGACAACCCAGTGTGCTGTCTGAGCATCACTGTGACTTTTTCAGTCCCCAGCGGTTCACCATTTAACAATGTGGTTTGCGATTTTCCTTCTTCCTCTACCCCAAGGTTGTAACCCGACTGATTCATCTCTTGGGTGAGAAGATCTTGGGCAGCCTCCAGCAGGGATCTGGAACAGGTGAGTCTCAACACCTCCTCAGTCCACCCACTAATCCCCCCACTCCCCACCCCCACCCCCGCTTCCCCCGAGGGGCAGAAGAAGAAGCATGGAAGCCGGCGGGGCAGACCTCTGCAGCGTTGTGGGATACTGTGCTGCATGACTCTTGGGAACATCCACAAGCTCCCACCAAGCACAACTCTGAGTAAGGAGGGCTTAGATTCTGACAGTGCCAGCATAGTTTGCCAAGATGTGTCTCAACATGGGCAGCACAGAGGGAAGCTCAACTATTTGTGAGAAGAGGTGTGATATATCTGCTTCTATTCCCGTCAGTGATTAGAAAGGGAAATAGAGGGTGAAGCCTCTGGGAGAGTGGGAGAGGGGGAGGCTGCCCTAGTCTGTCTGTCATGTGCCAAGTGTAAAAAGATGGTGAATCACTGTAGGGTGTCGGGAATTAAAACTCTACCACAGCATGTTTGTTTCCCTCTAGCTCCAAGAGTGTCCCTAATTTGGGAGCCACTGGTCACTATGTGTTCTAGGACTGTCTTCTTTTCCTGGATCTCTGGTGTTGCTCTCTGGCTCTGCACTGTTCTGTGCACACTACGCCCATGGCTGTCTCCTGCCTCCACCCCCATGTTCCCTGCCTAGGTGGCCGTTGTACATCTGTGTGCACACCTCTGGTCCTCCCCACCCTCTGCTCATCTTAGCCTCATCTTTTGTTTCTTTTCCCACTGGCTCTCCCAGGCTAGCTCATTCGTGACCTGGTCCTGTGCAGGCAGACATACAAGCTTTATACATGGCTGAGACTGGTGTGTGTGCAGTACTGGATGTTTGTTGAGAGGACACACTGTGGGTAAACAAGCTGCTGTTTAGCTCTTTGCTCTCAGTACACCTTGTCATGTGGATCACATCCTGGTATTTTAAGTATTATGTTAAGCAAACTGTCTGTGCTTACAGTGTGCACACAGCAATAGAAAACCGTGGTCCTTCTCCAAGATGGATTCATCTTAACTTCATCAGTCTTTAAGGCTTTTCCCACATGAGATTACATTCTGAAGTTCTGAGTGGGCATGAATTAGGAGAGACACCATACTGTTCAATACATATGGTTTCTTTCTTACTCTGCTTTCAGCCTGTCTGACCACTGTGTTTGAAGTAAGTGTCTTAAAGGAAGGCACAGTGAGAGGCCAGGTTTTTTAACTGTTCTTCTGGTAATCTTTACCTTTTAACTATTCAGACCACTTACCTCTAACATAGCTGTTCTATTAGAATTTATCTCTACTACCTTATGTTTTAATTTTATTCCAATACTATTATTATTATTATCATTATTATTATTTTGGTTTCTCGAGACAGGGTTTCTCTGTGTATCTTTGTGCCTTTCCTGGAACTCACTCTGTAGACCAGGCTGGCCTCAAATTCACAGATATCCACCTGCCTCTACCTCCCAAGTACTGGGATTAAAGGCATGCGCCGCCCCCGGCTCCAATATTATTCTTTTTGGTTACTTTCT